ACCTCACTTTGAATCCACATTTGAATGAATCAGGGGCAACTTGAACCATTTGTAGACCTTAATATATGAATGCGTTATTTGGGAATGAGTGTGTTTGTCCAATAATTGCACTTATCTGTAAGAAAGGGTCTCTTCCCTGACCTTCAGCTGCTTACCATTAAGATATCTTTCAGTGTTTGAAATCACCATTGTAAAAGTGGTTCTCATTACAACATCCAGTCTGGTAAATGTTCACAATTGAATGGGATATTTATATAAACATCAGCAGTCCTTGTGAACATTGAAGCCACTAGGTAATTTTTTAACCCTTACTTTCCTCTCACCTTGCCCTCTTTTGCAGTCACCAATGTCTATTACTTTTATCTACGTACATGTGTATGCATTGTTTACATTACAAGAGAGAAAATGTATTTTATATTTTTTCTGAGTTATTTTATTTGGGATAATGTCCTTCAACTCTATTCATGTTGCTATGAAAGGCACAATTTCACTTTTTGTGGCTGCATACTATTCCATGATTTACATATATCATATTTTATCTAATCATCCATTGATTGACACTTAGATAGATTACTTGATTTTTCTATTGAAAATGGTGTTGCAATAAACATAGGAGAGCAGGCAACACTTTCTGATATAAAAGTTTGCTTTTGGGAGGAATATGCCCACTGGGAGGGATTACTGGGACAAATGGTAATACTAATTTCATTTCTCTGAGAAATCTCTGTATTGTTTTTCATAGAGTTTGTACTAATTTACATTCTCACCAAGCATGTATAAAGCATTATTTTTCGTATGCTTCTCTGCCAGCACCTGCTGTTTTTTATTTGTAATAACAGCCATTCTGACTGGTGGAAGATGCCGTGTGATGTTGTTTGTAATTTACATTTATCAGATGATTGGTGATGCTGAGTATGTTTTCTTATTTGTGTCGGCCACTTCTGTGTCTTCTTTTGATAAATGTCTGTTTTTGTCTATTCTTTAATGAAGTTATTTGTCATTTTTAGTTGACTTATTTGAGATACTTATAGATTTTATACATTAGCCTTTTGCAAGGTGAATAGATTCCAAATAATTTTTCCCATTTGCGGGTTGTCTGGTCACCATGTTTTCTGTGCGGACCTTTAGTGCAATTAAATCCTGTTTGTCTGCTTCTGTTTTTACTGCATTTGCTTTTGAAGTCAAGTCATATTTCATTTGCTTAGACCAATGTCCAGAGGACTGTTTTTAGATTTTGTTCAAGTATTTTTATAGTTTTAGTTTATAAATTTAAACACTGAATCCATATTCAGTTAATTTGTGTCCATGGTGATATGGAAGTCTCGGTTTATTCTTCCACATAAGGCCATCTAATTTTCTCGGCACCACTTATTGAATAGAGGGTTGTTTCTCCAGTGTATATTTTTGTCAGTTTTTTCAAACAGCATTTGGTTTTATACATTTGGTTTTCTTTCTGGACTCTCTATTTTTTTCTACCAGTATCATGCTATCTTTCTGATTACATTCGTGTAGTATAATTTGAGGTCAGTGAATGCAGTGCTTCTAGTTTTGGTCATTTTGCTTAGGATTGTTTTGCTATTCAGACTCTTTTTTGATTCTGTGTGAATTTTAGTATTGTTTTCTAAATATTTAATCAAATATACTGGTCATTTGATAAAAGTAGTGTTGAATCTGTATAATGCTTTGGACGGTGTGTTTGTCCCTTTTGCATTCCTATAAATTAATACCTGAGGCCAAGTGACTTACAAAGAAAAGAGGCTTATTTGGCTGACAGTTCTGAAGGCTGTGTGAGAAGCATGGCACCAGGATCTGCTTTACAATCACAGTGGAAGGCAAAGGGGGAGCAGGCTATGTCACATGGTGAGAGCTGGGACGTGAGTGGGGAGGAGGGTTGCCAGGCTCTTTTTAACAATCAGATCTCATAGTAGCTAAGACAGCAACAATTCACTAAGTGCCATGGGGTGGTTCCCAAGGCATTCCTGAAGGATCTTTCCCCATGACCCAAAACCTCCCAGTCGGTCCCACCTCCAACACTGAGTATCACATTTCACCATGACATTTGGAAGGGAGAACATCTAAACTATATCATTGCAGTCTCGGGCCCAAAATTCTCATGTCCTTGCATTGCAAAATATAATCATCTTTTTTCAATAAACCCCAAAAGTCTTAACTTGGTCAGCCTCCAACTCAAATGTCTAAAGTCTCATCTGAGCCTTAAGGTGACTTCTTTCCATCTGTGAGCTTGCAAATTAAGAAAATGTGAAAGTTGTGTATTCCAAGGTGCAGTGACGGTGCAGGTGTTGGGTCAATTATTCCAATCCAAAAGAGATAAATTGGCCAAAGGAATGGCCAACAGGCCCCCTACACACATGAAACCCAGTAGGGCAGATATTAAATCTTAA